TTCTCAGACCTTCAGATTTGGACTGAATTGCACCACAAGCTCTTCTGGATCTGCAGCTTGCAGATGACAGACTGCTCAAAAACTAACCATATTATCTATTTTAGAATTCCATTTGAAGTTTTACTACCATTGCTGGTTCCAAATGACGTGAGCCATCAAGACATACATGAATTAATCAAACTTTATAACTATTAATAGAAAAATGTTATGCTAAGTGAAATAAGCCAGATAAAAAAGGTCAGATATTGTATGATTAAATTTATGTGAAATGTTCATGCTATGGATACAGTTAGAGTGTCCTCCAGGTTTTCATGTTGAAATTTAATCCCCATTGTAAAGTATTAAGAGGGCAGGAACTTTCAAACTATGGTGTTTAGAGATGGGGCTTTTAGGGAGTAATTAAGATTAAATAGAAGCTATTAGGGCAGAGATCCCATGCATGAATCTTGATGGTTTTGTAAGAAGAGGGAAAGAGAACCGACACACACACACACACACACACACACACACACACACACACACACACGCAGAGCTCCTTGTCTACTGCTATGTGATGCCCTGTGCTATTTTAGCTCTCTGCATGAAAACTATCACCTGATGTGGCCTATTGCCCTTTGATCAGAATTGTGGGCCAAAATAGGCCTCTTTTTTATGTCACTCAGTCTGTGGTATTGTGTTATTGGCAATAGAAAAGGAACTAATGCAGTACAGATTAGACAAATTTATTGAGATGAAAAGTAGATTAGTAGTTGCTTAGGGTTGGAGGAGGGGAAGTGAGGGAGTGCTTAATGGGTTAGGGTTTCTTTCAGGGGGTAATGAAATGTTCTGGAACTATATTGTCATAATGGTTGCATGACTTTGTACTAAGGCCACTAAATTGTACACTTTAAATGAGTAAATTCTATGGTATATGAATTACACCTTAAAGTTATTATCTTAAAATAAATAATACCCATTATATCTCTGCTCCCTCTTTCGTTCCACAGGCAATTTAAATAAAGCTTGCCAGCTGCCTGGCAACAACACCATTATCTCCAAATTCTATGCTCCATTTTTGTGACAGTGTTTTTTTCCTCCTTAAGGCTGATTTAGGTGTTCATTTTACTAGATTTTTTTTTGAAGTAAAATGTTATGTGTGAGGGCTATGGAGGAAACTGACTTGTGTTTTGACCTCTATATATACTGATGAGATCCTACCTCTATATACTGATGAGGGAGTGGGCAAGAACTAAAAGGCAAGAGTCTATGTAATCATCATGTACACACACACACACACACACACACACACACACACACACACACTGAAAGGCAAGTGTCCACAAGGAACTGACAGTGAAGAGAAGATTCAGAGGACATGACTGATTTTTGCCTTAGATAAAAGGATTCTAACAGCCTAAACTGAACATTCTCTGGAATAAAGCCATCATTCCATGCTAGCTCGATTCTCTGGGCCTTACTCATCACCTTCCACCAACCAGTATTCTGTGACTGCACCATGAATCACTTGTTGTCTATCTACATCCGTCCTTTCCTCTTCCCTTGTGGATGCCAACCACCTCTTATAAAACAGCTCCTGCGAGGCCCATTAGCAGTCTTCTTCAGGTTGCTGTGGCTTGGAAAGCTCAACTCTGTCCCCAAATCATACATGGTTCAGCAGCATTCTGAATGCTGCCAAAGATGTCAGAAGCTTTTAGACCATATGGCTTCTAAACCTGTTGTTGTTTCTGTTGATAGGGGTTGAATGTGGGTAAGGAGTCAGATCTTGGATCTCCTTGCAGAATTCTGGTGCTTCTCAAAGGGAGAAACTGACTCTTGAACACTTACTAGAATTCAGAGGGTCACTTAGAGCATCACTTCTGTCTACCAGCCCTTGGGAGACCTGTACTTTAATGGGGAAGGGACTCCTGGGCCTAAGCAGTCTCATAACTACCAGCACTTCCAGAATTGCTCATCTTAAAAAGAGTAAAAGAGTTGGAATCTAGAGATTGCCTGAAAGAACAGTGTTTGACAGAAACAGGTCAAATTTTCAGTTAGCTTCTTCTACTAAGGCAAAGGAACACAGAAATAAGAGACCAGAGGATTTAGTGACCTAAAAAGCTAGAAAATCTTAGAGCTGAAAATAGAGAAGCTGGTGGATGAAAGGAATTAAATGGCAGTAAATTAACAGGTCTATACCAGCTACAGAGGAGGAGGATCCAATAAAACTATAGTGGGAGCTCTGTCCTCAAGGGGCCTATAATAATTTAGTTAGAACATTAAAATTAATACAGTGGAAACAGTTTGTAATTTGGTTACAGTTTGGTATTGATAAAAATGTCTGATAAAGGACAGGTCACATGGACTGGCATCCTCTGAAAGCTAAAGGCTGAATAATACAGTGCTCATTCAGTCTAAGGACCCCAGCTACAGTAGCTATAGCTTTTAGAGGCATCTCTGAGTCTTTCCTGATTTCATGGAAGGAATATAGGGGAGAAAGGTTTATAATCACCATTTATCAATCATCACTGTCATCAACAAGAGCCGTATAAATATTCAATGGACATTGCTTCCTCACTAAATTAACACTTCTATTGGGAAAGCAGAACAAACAAAAAAAGTTGAAGGACTGATACAAGGGAGCCTGTGCTAATAGCACAAAGAAAGGAAAGTAAGAAAAGGCTTCCTGCAGAAGGTTGAACTTGAGTTGACCCTTCAAGGGAGGTTAGGGTTTGGATCAATGCAGAACAGAGTGAAGGGAGTATAAACCACATCAATAAGGCACAAAAGGTGGGAGTGGGATGAATACTATAAGCAAGAAAACCTTCTGGACTGGAACAAGAGGTATGTGGTAAGGTAGCGTGGGTGACTATAGTTTGAGGGAGAAGCAGTGTGGTGATTACAGAGAGGCTTAGATGGAGGACAAAGGGAGTCATTTCAAAACAAAGTAGGTAGGCACTGTAGATCTGGGTATTTGGGACATGATAACAACATGGGCAAGAAAGAAGAAAGGCTCAAAGAACAATGGGATTCTACATTCTTCCTAGCTTTACTCTCTTGTGTTAGCGTGACTGACATATTCACTCTATCCTAGCAGAATAATATGAGTTGGTCAGCCTGCCTCAGATCCACTTTACAAAGAGGTTGCTATAGCAGCCTCAAGAGGTTCTATACCAGTGCTGGTGTATGTATGGCACTTGTGCCACAGTGGGCTATTTGTATCACTGAAAGCTCTAAAAAGCATGCCATCACTGTTCTGTACCATTTATTGGTGGTAAACCTCCTCCCAGTTGAAACATTCTAGTAATCAGCACTTTGAAGTTGTTGTCCTCCCTTCTGAAACAGTAAGGAGGAAGTATCAGCCTCTTAGCCCAGCTGTGAACACAGGTGCAGAGCAAGATAGGGGATCTGCTTCACAAAGCAAGAATATTTCAATGCTGAATTTGTCCCTTAATGAGCCCTAGGGAAGGGAGGTAGCAATCCAGGGAACCTTAAAAAAAAAACACAAATGGCAAGACAAAGTCTATTTTGAGGCCATCCTTTTGGTGGCTGCTACTTGGCTCCTCTACATACAGATTCTTTTGCTGACTTCCTGCAGCAAATGGAGACTGGCACAGCCTCTGCTACATTTATAATAGTACCAAGAGGAGATGTTTTCTCTTTTTTCTATGGGGTTTAGAATTATGCAAATAAGGCAAAAAACAAAAGCTCAGTGAAGTGAGGGTGGACTGTACCTTAGAATCCAGGCAGCTTTCAGAGTTAAGGCATCTCTCTCT